ACCTGTCCAGTTGGTCATGGCAGACCCACTGCAAAGGGGAACGTACAGACTAGGATGAATGTAAGGGGGAGAGAGGACTCACTAGGAAAGAATAAAAGCATAGGAGAGAGTGTATGAACAGACTGTCATCCACATGCTGTGTGCCCTCCCACCTGAGCAGCAGTGTTTCCAGGGCAGGAAAGGGGGCGGACAAGAAAAGGAAGATGGAATTCTCATGGTATGTGCACATTCACCTCAGACAAGCTGGTGCCACCAACCACACTACAAGGAAGAAAAATAAGCCCTTTTCCTGGAAGAGTATATAGCAAGCAGCCCTGTATTTTTTTTCTTTTGCCTGCAGTTTATATGAAAGTATAAGTTTTGATCAGAGTCCGTCAGTTAGAAACAGAAAGTAGACATTTCACAGAGGGTGGAAGGAACTCCTTAGTTTGTACACTGAGAAGCGATGATAGTCCAGAGTCATATACAGGTGGACTGGTAGAGAGCTACCCCAACCAGACATTCTCAGTTGTCCACAGATGATTGCTTAGTCACCACAAGCATCAAAGTGAAAAAAGGACAAGGGAGACATGGGCAAAGGGACTCCTCATAGCATGTGTGGGTTTCTTCTTGGACAAGCTGCTGCTGGGCATAGGTCTCCAACCATGCCACCAGATGTGTTGAGAATGATACACAAAAGGTACAAGAATAAAAGAATTGACCAGACCAGAATGGATATCAAAAATTTTGTAAAGAATATCCTCTATGTAGAAGGAAGCAGAAACACAGTAAATGAATTCTCAGAGAAAGAATTTCCCTCCGATAGGTAACTGAGCTTTCTTAAGAGTTAAGAAAAATCTCTTGATCTCAACCTCCAGAGCCTTGGTGTAGGATATCTGGATGAATATATGAAATTCTTAAAGAATAAAAATAAATAGAGCTGGAGAGATGTCTCAGCAGTTAAGAGCATTGGCTTGCAAAGGACCTAGGTTCGACTACCAGCACCCACGTGATGACTCACAACCATCTGTAACTCCAGTTCTACGGAATCCAACATCCTCTTCTGGTTTCTATTTGTTACTAGGCATGCAAGTGATGCACAGATAAATATGTAGGCAAAAAACATCCAGAAAAAGTAATAAAGGTTTAAAAAATAAACAAGGAAATGAAAAATTTTTAGTTAATTCAACTACAAAGGAAGTAGGAAATCAATATTGTGTTAGGTAGTAAATATAGCACCAGTTGCACTTCCTAAGGTTGGTCATTTGCATTGACACACCACAAGTCATTAGAAGCTAGGCTCCAAATATTTACAATCAAATATTCTACTACTAAGCTATACTCCCCAAATATTTGTATAAGACCACACAAGTTACTAGGTCAGTCAGACTCAAAGCATTGAGATCTGATACTGTAGGAATTTATGGGTTTTGTTTGGGTCCTTATATCTGTACAATCTCCCCCCTAAGTCTCTTTTTCACATTCTGTCTGATCATATTTGGCTATAACCTTTAACTGTACATATTTGATCTGAACATATCAGCAACATGATTTGTTTCCTTGCTTTATTCAAGTGCCTGTTCCAATGACATCTATTCTTTGATTATCTATACAGACTAATACACCCCAGGACCCAACCTTGTCTCTCTTTACTTCCTGTTATTTTGCTTTTCCTTCAAAGATATCTTACACCCCAATGTAAGGCATGTATGACAGCAATACATTCCAATTCTAATTCCAGAAAACGTGCTGGGAGGAATGAGAATCTGTCGGTGTTCACCATGGTGTAAGCTTTATGCACTAGGCAATCAAAGACCTTGTTTCTGCCCATTTCCTCTCCTATAACAGTGTTAGAACAGTGAAAGGCCGCTCTCTGACTATTTCTCAGAACAAAAGAACTACAGTATTACATTGTAAGCATTAGGATCTAAATCTGTATGTGGAGGAAGGAATGAGTTTCCTTCAGACAGGAGAATCTCAAAGAAAATCGAGGTTTGGAAAGATGTATTCACTTCCCAGTAGAGTGAACCTCCTGACTCAAGCAATTAGGTGTGACAAATTTTACTATGGAAAATGTGAAATGATTCCTGTCCAAAATCTAGCTCTAGTCCAAAAGTTATAGGGTACAGTCATAGTTGAGCACTTTGATCTATTCTATATTCTTCTGAATAAGTCACTATTGTATTCTCCCTGTTAAATCAGAGTTGTAACTAGACACAAACCCAGTTACGAATCATAGGTCTTGGTATATGCTCAAATCACTCTATGATAACGTAAGGCCTAAGGTTCAGAAGCATAAAGGACAGTTGATAGATATCTGCCCTCCCACATGATATATGTTTTAAGAAAACAACATTTGTCTACACAGTTTAACAATCTTTCCGTAAGTCCTATAGGAAAGGAACAGATTTTTCATTTACTCTATGGTCTAATGCCATAGAACAATTCAATTCACAGTTCATGACTTAGGGTTTAAGTGGATTTATTATTGTCTCAGACAGGAAGATTTTTATTTTGCCCCTGCTATTTACCAAACCAGACATCTCCCAAACGTGAAAACTTAGAGTTACCCTCTTTCTGTTACAATATAAAACACCCCCAAATCTTATGAGAAATGAGTAAAGTCTATGTGTGGTCTAGAAATCTGAGAAGGGTGGCACACAAATGACTTCTCAGAGACATAACGTAAGTTCTGTTAGAAATTGTATCTTCTTTATTCAATCCCTAGGACTATGAACAGGCTTACTCCAGTGTTTGGAATAGTAAACGTTAACAGCAATTAGCATTTAAAAGGTTCCCTAAAATAAAACCAAATAAATTCCACTTGGATTAAAGTTAGCTATTCATGTTGGCATCATTAGAAAACACAAAAGTCATTATAATTATTGGTTATAGCTTTATTTGTATATAATTTATTTTCAGTAAATATGTAAAACATGAGCACCAAATACATGATAGTGTCTGCTTCTGCAGAAGAGGTGGTATGGTAGTAGAAAATGAATTTATTAGCCATTAACACTCATTAATTTTAATATAAATCTTCATTTAAAGCAAACATGACAAAGTTGATATTTGCTAATTTGAAGTGGAGGTAAACAAATGTTTTTCACATCTTTCTTAATTTCTTATATTTTGTCTTATTTTTCTAGTAAATAAAAGAATACAGAGATAATTATATTATCATTATAGCTGATAATTTTCTTACATTTTCTGAACTGGACAAATCTAATTCACATTAATATACAAGGACATGAGGCACCTGAAAAAATATAATCAGCAAATTTTATAATATAAACATTCAACTTTCTATGTAATTGACAGAGAATATATATTCTGTAAATGACAGAAAAAATATATATTCTGTATTACCAAAAAATCTGAAAAAGCCAATTGCTGCTGGGAAAATATCAGGAAACTCATTAGATTTACACATCATCAACCAATTTCCCAGGATTAGACTGCTTTACAGCTTAGTCCCACCTAACTTTTGAAGAACATTTCTAATGCCATTTAAACTACTTCACCAAGTCACTTTTTAAGCTAATAGAACTTTAATAACAAAGCTTCATATAAACAGGGTAAGAAAGAAAAAAAATGACACAACCAGTTATCTGTTAGTTTAATTAAAAATAAAAAGAATAACCTAAAAATGCAACTTCATTTTGAAATGCAAGTCCAATTCTAAGTGCATTATTGGTAAATAAAATATAGCAAAATAATAAATGATCATTTTATTATGACCAGGTAGAGTTTATTTCAGAAATGCAGGTTTGTTTTGGTACTAAATACCTAATTTTCTAATAAATCATACGTCAAAAAATTAAAGAAAAAATAATTTTAATAAAGGATATTGAAAAAACATTGATAAAATAGAGGAGACATTTCTAAAAGTAATGCTATGTAAAAACAGAAATAGGAGAAATTTCTTAACACATGAATAACTACTTACCAACAATCAACAACAAAGTCAAACATGAAACAGTAAAATTATTTTCATAAAAATTAAAATAGAATAGGCATGTCTGCCATCATCATTACATATCATTGCTGTGGAGAATACAGCTAATATAATGCTAATAAGTATAAGCATTAGAAGAAATAAAATGCTCTCTCTTTACATGTGAAACTATTGTATATATCAAGAAAATCCAAAAGTTTCTAACAGAATCCAATGTAACCTATAGGATTAAATAAATTCATTGGATAAAAGATAAAAATATAAAATCTATAGATTTCCTTTATTGATAAAAATAAAAAGTTACATATAAGGAGGAAAAAATGCTCAATTTATTCCAAAATTTGTCAACTGCAAAAATAAATTCCATTAAATATGAATGATCTATATGAAGAATGTAATGAAAATGATAAAAATTTTCAATAATGAACCAAAACTCTTGCATGTTAAAGAATAACTATATTATTCTTGTATGTAAGAACACATAAAATTGATGCGATTCTAATAGGTATCAGACCTTTTTCAAACTATTAATAAAATGCATTGAGTTTTCTTGTGAATAGATGAATGTAGAGGATGAATTATAATAAGGAAGAAAAAAACCAAATAACTATAGAAAGAGAATTTGTTATTCCAGTTTTTGAAACTTATGGTCAGCCACTATGTTGAAAACTCATTTTCACTCAGAAAATTGAAAAAAAAGTGATCTTTTTTTTAAAAAAGTAATTTCTTCAATTGAATATGTGAAAAAGTTGTAGATAAATCCATATATATTTCTATATGGAAAAATTAATTTCAGATAGATAAAAACTGAAATAAAATAAAGATTATAAGAAAAACAAAGTGAATATTGGTGCGACTTAGAGATATGTCTGAAAAAAATAAGAAATCAAAAACTCATAAAAGATATAGATGTTTTAAAATTATAAAATTACTTAAAGTTTTAAAAATTATAAAGTGAACAATATATCAATAAAGTCAAAATTAATAATATAATGCAAAATTCATTAACACATGAAATACAAATGATAATGTACTTTCATTATGGACATTCCTACTACTTTATATGAAAATATATCAGTTGAACAGCTAAAAGAACAAAGGATAAGAATTAGCAAAACACAAAAGAGAAATATCCCAAGTAGAAAAATAAATCTCATTGAGTCAGGTAAACACCAAACAAACCAATCAGGAAAATCATGGAACTTTTTACCAGTCAGCTTTTCAAACATTAAAGACCAGTGAACACCAACCTTGTAATATTTCTTAAAACTATATATATATGTATATATATATGTGTGTGTGTATGTATGTGTGTATGTATGTATGTATGTATAACACTTCCATAGAAATAAGAGCACCTGAATACAATAAAACAGCAATACAAGACAAAAAGGAAAGAAATAATCACCAACAACAGAATGAATACGTTTTGGCAAATCTGTATTACTGTGTACACAGTTGTGAGAGGAAGTGTCAGGCTGAGAGGCAGAGACCAACTGTGCTATTGATCAGAAGGTCTGTCATCGGCTGGTGAATCTTACAAAAGCTACATTGAACTTTCTCTCTGAGAGTAGGGAAAACAGCCTAAGATAAAATCAAGTTCTCAAACTAACCTGGAAAAATCAACAGAGGGGACGGAGACACGTTGCACAGTTTATCTACTTTTGAATCGTGCCAGTGGATTCAAACACTTTTTAACGTTTTTTCTTAGCAACCAACACTTTTTAACGTTTTTTCTTAGCAACCAATTTAAATTTTCAATTACAAAACAAATAAACAATGAAAGTACTAACATACACACGATTCAAAACTGAGCAAGAGTCAATATAAGATACAGAGGCACAATAAGATTTACCAACCGTCCTGAACTTTTGACCTCAAAATTGTTCTCAAAACACATAATTTTGAGAACATCCAATATTTTACCTCTAATAGTTCCACCAGTTCACTATAAGCTTATGGGGTTTTCACCAAACCATAGACATAAATGTGAATATCATCGTCAAACTTGATGAAGTAGACAGACGGCTTGGCCACCACCTGATGGATAAAGATGCCAGTTCTCTTGGATCCGTCGTCTTTGGCGTGCTCCACCTGCTTGCCCACAAGACTGTCGAGCACCTCCCCAGGCTCCTGTTCTGCTGTCGGGAAGTAGTAGTTGGAGTCTGGAATGATACGCAGGTCACCATCTTTGTAGTCATCCAGCAAGGTGTACATATAGAGGACCGGATCTTTCTCGTAGGTGATGTAAAACCAAGTGTCCATTATGGGAGCTCGTGCCAACACCATGCCCTTCCACTCATCTTTCTTGCCGTGCTCACCTTCGAACACGTGTCCCACTGCTTTCCCAACCAGGGAATCTGCCAGGCGGGAATCGATGCGAGGAGAAGGAACTCTCTCGGGAAGAACTTCGAGAGCTAAAACTCTCTTGTCTCGGTGCAGTTCTAGTCCGTACACACTGTCTTTGCCATCATATTTAATTATATAGAGAGTGGGCTTCACGGAAACCTGCTCGAGCACAGTGCCCTTCCATTGCTCCACTGGCTCATTGCCTTCTTTCCAGCCGTGCTGAATGCGGCAGCCAACGATGTTCCTGTGAGTGAGGAAAGTGGGCTTACGCCGCTGCTTCTTGTGAGTGTGCCTTTTCTTCATCAGGTAGGCGGACACGCCATCCACCCCAGTAGGAGGCACGGTCGGAGGAGACATGGCTCAAGGCTTAGGTGGCCGAAGCAAAGCTGCCCTTTGCTTATGAAGCTGGCAAACAGTCGACACTACAGTCGACCCAGTCGGAGAAATTTTTTCGCGGTCTGAGAGACTATGTCCGTTCTCCCGTCTTCAGATTTTGTCAGCAACAAGCTAACTGACTGGGAACTGAGACAGAGAGTGCCTCTCTCTAGTACTCTCTCCTCCTTCTGGGAGGGGGTGATTGCAGTAGTGATGGCTAGAGAGAGATGGCGGGCTCCGAGGTTCTGTCCGCGCCAGGCGCCTTCCCGGACTCCCAAGCCCAAGTCCCAGCCAGAATCCACCACTTAGCTGTTGTTGTCAATGCTGCGGTGGTTGCAGAACGGCAGCAGAGAAGAAGACGACAGTTAACGTGGACAAGAGATGACAGGGATGGTTGCAGCAACGAAAGTGCAGGCAATGGCACGTCTCCCAGCAGTTTGCGCGGCCTGGTCTTGGCAGCGCTTGTCAGCTTGGCCAATCTGCGGAACCGGGATTTTTGTAGCTCAGGGAATCCTCCACCTCCTTCTCAGAGCCCGCCCTCTCCTTCCCTCCACCCCTCCCGCTTCCGTCCTGCCTTCCGCTCCTGGGGCAGCCACACTGACACAAGCACTCGCCTTTACTCTTGCCCCCCACCCCCCACCCAGACCGGTTCAGTCCCACCAGAGCCAGACAGTCCAGCTCCCCCCTCCCCTTTCGGCTGTCTGCTGCCCAACTGCATACTTCACTGAGGCTCCATCTGCTTTCTATCTTCCAGGAATTCCTCACAAGCAGAAAAAGAAAAAAGAAAAAGAAAGAGAAAAAAATACGTGGGGTGGGAGAAATCGTATATACAAATCTACAATTTCGTTCACTTTTAAGAGATTTGAAACGGTACTGCGAAAAGGCCGTTCACAGTCCACCATGTTGACTTAAACTCTCCTTTATATTTTCTAACTAATCATTCGCCGCCGTAATGATTTTTACTGTTTTTCTAAATCTAAAGGAAATACGTTGGAATTTGATTTTCTAAAACTCAGTGAAATCAAAAAATAAAACTAACTTTAACTTTAATCGCACAAGCTATTGATTTTTACTGTTTTTCTAAATGTAAAGGAAATACGTTGGAATTTGATTTTCTAAAACTCAGTGAAATCAAAAAATAAAACTAACTTTAATCGCACAAGCTAGGTTTCTCTCTTATTAATATAGGCTCTATAATTTTAGACATTTGAGAGCATGTTCTACACTTTTATAGTTTACTTTGTCATTTATATCGTGAGAATTTTTGAAGTTATTCAAGTACCCTGAAAATACAATTTGTTGTTGTTTTGTTCTGTTTTCTGCTTTTTGAGACAGGATTTCTCTGTATGGTCATAGATGTCCTGAAACTGGCTCTACATACCAAGCTGGCCTCGAACTCAGAGGCCCTCCTGTCTCTGCCTCTCCAGTTCTAGGACTAAAGGCATATTCCACCATGTCTGACTGGTAACACAATTTTTAATGGTTTCATATGTGAACATAAAAAAAAAACCACAGCTCTCATCTGAAAACAAATAAAAGATAGTTTCTTCTGGAGTCACATTCTAAGACTACAAATTTAGGTTACCCCAAACTCCATGTTCCAATGTGGTAATAGTTTCATGAAGCTTTTCGTTGTTGTTTGGTCACTATTATCCTGTGTGTGCATGATGCATGTGTGTGTGGGAAGGGACTGGGGTGGAGCCCATGCCACGTGCACAAAAGGAAATCAGAAGACCGCAGGGTCTTCCACTTTTACTTTAATTCCATGGATTGAACCCAGGTCCTCAGGTTTATGCCACAAGTGCCTTTTTAAGCTGATTGCCTTACTCAACTGACCTCATGAAATTTTTATAGCAGCCAAGCAAAAAGAACTATAAATCAAGAAACTTTTAAAATACATTGGTGGGAGCCTTGGGTAGGCATGTCGCAACAAACCGGAGAGACCTCTGCCGGAGGTTTCAGATCCTATCTGATAGCAGTCCCAGCCTTCGGTCAGTGGAAGCTGAGGATCTATGCACACATTCCAAAGAACTTACCTAACAGCCGGAAGAATGTTAGGTCCCTCACAGAGGTGAACCAAAAATGCCCACTTGAGCGGGGAAGGTTAAGATAGTTCGAGATAATGTGCCTCTGGAACTGCAACAGCTGTACAACTCTGTATTACTCAAGTCTTAATCAGCCAGGTACAATGTCCAACGAATGGGTGGCTTTTTCTCCCCTGGGAACTTCAGTTAACATAGTTTCTTTTCAATACTTCTTCAGTGGCTCATCATTTATTCTAAACGGTCTAAAGCAAAAGAGTAAGGAATATAACTCTCCTTTTTCATATATGGACTGATTGATTGAGCTTTTCTTTACTTTTTCTCTCTCCCTGAAATCCAAAAAAGTTAAAGTGGTGGTTCCATTCTTTTTTTTTCATACAGCACATTTCACCCACTCCAGTCCCTCTCAGATCCTCTCCAACTCCCTACCTACCTAACATTATTCTCTCTCTCTCTCTCTCTCTCTCTCTCTCTCTCTCTCTCTCTCAACATCAAAATAAACAAACAAAAACCAATAAGGCAAAAAAGCACACACACACACACACACACACAAATAAAGCAACCGACGGAGTCTATTTTATTTTGGCTTGCCCAGAAACAAGGTTTATATACTCAGTGACACTCTACTGGGGAAAACTGATTTTTCCCTTTCCCAGCAGGTATCAATTGCAAATAGCTTTTTGGTTAGGGGTGGGATTTAGTGTCAACTTCCCCTTCTAAGTATTAAAATTTTGTCAAGTCTGAACTTGAGCAGGTCTTGTGTGTGCTGTCATAGTTTTCTGAGTTCTTTGTGTATCAGTACTGCTGTGCCTGGAAGACACAATTTCCTTGAAGTCTTCTACAACCTCTGCCTTGTACAAGCTTTTAACCACCTCTTTCAAGAGGTTCCCTGGGTCTTGAGGGGGAGGGGTTTGATAAAGCCACCTCATTTAGGACTTACTGCTCTGAATTCTCTTACTTTGTGCAGATTGTCTAGTTGTGAGTCTCTGTGTTTATTGCCATCTATTGCAAGAAAAAGCTTCTATGGTAACAGTTAAGCAATATATGCATCTATGGGTGCATTGCTGTGTTCCTTCAGCAGAATAATAGTACTGGTTTTATTTACCCTAGGTCCCATGGCCTATCTAGTCTCAGTTCTTGGCCACTTTCTGTTGGAGTGGGCCTGAAGTGCCATCAAAATGTGATTGGTCACTTCCATAACATTTGTACTGCTACTGCACCAGAATGACTCGCAGGAAAGTTACTATTTATTGTAAGTTTCAGGATTTGTAGCTAAGGTGGTATTGTTGACTACTTTTCTTCTCTAGTAGCATGCAAAGTTTCTTCCAGTACCATGAATGCTAGTCAGTAAGGAAGAAGCTTTTAGTTGGGTACCAGCTTGAATTTTTTTCCATGTTTAATGACATATGTAAATGCTTTCCTCAGCAATAGCCTTAGTATTAGCCTGTGATGTTTTGGGGGTTCTATGGGATCACTTTGGCCCTCCAACTCAACAAGATATAGCTCATCCTTCATACTGGAAGTTTTGCTTAGTGGCAAAGTATGTCTATTTGGGGCATTTTCTCCCTCATAGTATGGTGAGTCCATTTAAATTCCTTTCATGTATGTATATATTTTAGGAAGCTTCTATCGTACTAGATTTTCCAAAGGCCTTTACTGTTAGTTGTCCCTTCTCGTATCACCTCCCTCACCCTGCCCTTCCATCTTCCTGTCCATTTAATCCTCCTACTCTAGTTTTACTCTATATAAAAATGCTCATCCTCTAAATTCTGTCCCTTTGAGAACCCTAATAAGCTCTCTATTAGATTGTAATTGGTAAAGATGGGGTATTATTTCTTTTTATTTTTGTAGAGAGTTCAAGAGTGTAATAGCTATTAATATGAGATTTCTCCAATTTTTTTAAGTGTCAGCACTTAGTGCTAGGAACTTGCCTTTGGAAAGCACCTTCACTGAGTACCGTATGTGTGGGTGTGTTGAATTTTCATTTTCATTCAGTTATAAAAGCTTTTTAAATTCTTTCTTGATTTCTGTCATGACTCAGTTTTCATTAAGTATAGATCTGTGTGCCTTCCCCGAGTTGGTAATCTCTCTGCTGTTTCTATTGTTGTTGATAACAAGCTTTAATCCGTGGTGGTCTGAAAGGATGCAGGAGTTTATTTCAATCTGTGGTGACTCGCTTTGTTTCCTAATATATGGTCAATTTTGAAGAAACTTCCATGGACTGCTGAGAATAAAGTATATTATTTAGTGTTTGGGTGGAATGTCTGTTAGGTCCATTTATTTAATGGTGCTATTCACTTCCAGCATTTCTGTTTAGTTTTCATCTGGATGACATATCTATTGGAGGAAAGTATGACGCTGAAGTCACCCACTATCAGTGTATTAAGACCAATGTTACATCTTAGCTGTAGCACTGTTTCTTTTTATGAAGTTGGTTACAATTGTGGTTGGTCAATATTTAGAACTGTAATATCCTCTTGATGGATTTTTTACTTTAATGAGTATGTAGTGTCATTGAATATCTCTTCTGATTAGTTTTGGTGTGAAATCTATAAGTAAAATGACTATGTCAGCTTGTCTCTTGGGTCCATTTTTTCAGAATACCTTCATACATCCATTTACCTTAAGAGGACATATGTCCTTGACGGTGAAATGTATTTCTTGGATATAGCAGAAAGATGGATTCTGCTTTCTAATATTATCTGTTAGTCTATGTCTTTCTATTGGGGAAATGATGCCATTAATATTGAGAATCATGAGCAAACAATGATTATTGTTTCCTGATATATATTTTGTTGTGGCGGTTTGTTTTTTCCTCCTTCTTTGATTAAATGTTTTATGATTACTTATTCCTTGTGTCCTCTTATCCCTATCTCCAGACTGATGCTTTTCCTTCTAGTGCCTTCAACAGAGCAGGATTGATTGACAGAAATTCCTTTAATTTTCTTTTTTATGAAATGTTTTCTTTTTTGGTTGATTGTGATTTATAGTTTGGTTGGGTATAGTAGTCTAGCTTGACATCTGTGGTCTCTCAGAGCTTGTAGATGATTCTTTCAGACCTTCCTGGTTTTTAGAGTCTCCATTGAAATAAGATATTATCAAATGTGCCTACCCTTATGTGTGACTTGGTCTTTTCCCCTTGCAGCATTTAATAGCTTTTCTTTGTTTGGTACATTTAGTGTTTTGATTATTATGTGTCATGGGGAGTTTTTCTTTTCTGGTCCTGTTTATTTGGTGTTCTGTACGCCTCTTATACCTCGATAATTATCTCTTTATTTAGACTAAAGAAAAAAATTATTAATTTTAAAAATATGATTTCTGTATCTTTGGTGTTTGTTTCTTCTCATTTCTCTATACCTATTATTCAGAGGTTTGGTATTTTCACAGTGTCCTGGCTTTCCTGGATTTTTTTT